TTGTTTTTTTTTTTTTTGCAATTCATGGACAGGTTCCGAGCCTAACTACTGACGTTGACATGGATGGAGAACAAGATATTGGTGCTTCCTAATTTAGAAGAATTAGAAATTTATGTATCTGTATTGTTACTATTATAGTTGATGTACTTCTCGTATGTATTGTCTCTAACTATTAATTATTAATATTAATATGGGCTGATTATTAAGTGCGTTGTGTGCTATGTTGAATATTGGGCTAATAGTACGTTAAGAAAGCTGATGGGCTGAAAAAACGTGGGCCAAAAAATGGGCTGGCCTGATCCGATAAAAAACAGGCTAAAATTTTTTAAAACAGAAAACAGCCTAAAGAAATGGACATGGCCCATTGGAAGCAGGGCGGAGCCAGGAATTGAGGATAGGGGGCATATATAAGACTAGAATTTACCATACCAAGTTATAGTCACATATATAGTAGCAATATATATGTTTAACAAATTTTAACCAAAAGAATATTACATATCTATTATCTTAAATTTAGCGTACCGACTACCCGCAAGATCAAAAACAATTTGATAAAACAATACTAGTGACTGTTAACTACTAGATAAAAGAATACCACTGGATGATTATGGATTACTTATTACCTGCTGCTTCTGGTGTCCTGGACGCCTGACGGACACCTACTGCCTACATGAGGCAATTTGGACGGCATGTCGGCGCGCAGCAATTACATCTTCGTGTAAATGGGTTGCTTCTTATTGGGCCTTAAATACACAGTATACGATTAGAATGGGAGGAGCCAAACAGCTATTACACAATCCACTAAAAAAACAGCAATTACACAATACACATACATGGATAATATTAACTATATACTAGAGGACTAGTAGCATGTCAGGGGGTGCCAGGCCCCCCGTGCCCCCCTCCCTCCACTGATTGGAAGCCTATTTGCTACGTGGAATTAAATTGGCTGAATTCAATTTTATGACATTTCTGGAGTCTGCCACCTCGTGACATGTCAACAAGCCATCCTATGTGGCATTTGCTTACGTGGCGAGGTCTAAGAAAGCTATAACATTAAATCGTAAGTCATAAATGTTTGTGACAATCGAAATCAAAGTCATAAAGTTATGACTTGAACACCTAAACGTCACAAGTTGTCATCAAAGATGCTCATCTTTTGACATTTCATTTTTCGTCAACTTGGTGTCACAAATGACAGCTTATGACTTATTTTCTAGGTTTTATGACCAATATAAATTGTCAAAAGATGACACATTTCTTGTAGTGTGGGGGCGGTAAGCCAAGTACTTAGTGGTGACTTGCTTATCGCGTGGAGTCGGCGTGAGGTGTGATGTGGTGTAGATGAGATGTCATTACATCGGTACCCATTCAAAGTTTGGCAGGAGCGAGAGGAAGAGGGCGGTTGTGGCTTGGCAGGCGGCTGGCAGGAGTGAGAGAATGAGGACGGCTGTGGTTTTGCGGTTGCGGGCGTTCGCATATGAGGCGGGACGTGGCTGCGAGTGAGAGCTAGAGGAAGATGCGTGCAGTGGCTAAGGGTGGGGTGGTTGTGAGGGAAAATGAAACCTACGGTTTCTAGAAACACGCAGACTATATATATGTGACTTCTTGGATATGGACAAAATTCCTCTACTGGGCTTCTTTAGTCCTATATTCATGTAGGCAGCTAAAATACTCGGGTTCCCCGATGGGTAACGCGGACGGGTACTAGAAGAACGTTCTCGAACCCGCTTTACCCGACAGGGATCATTTTTTGCCGTTAAAAACCCTGCGGGAACTGATTTTGTCCCATCTTCATCCCTTAATGGATAAAATCTCCATCGGGCATCGAGTATCGGGGCCCGTTGCCATCCTTAATTCAAACCATTGGTTGTTCTCACTTCTAGACTCCATATAGTGTTAATTATTGAATTTGATGATGAGACTTGTAATATTGATCATTTAACCATTTTCTCACACGATACTTGTACATTTAAGTCCTCTTGTTAGGACTTGAAAGATGAATAGATAGGTAATCACAATCTTAATGTTAATGGATTTAAATGTATAGAATGCCATGAATTTTGCAAGACCATTATCATGAGTTCCATGATGCATCCTAGCTAGATTTTTATTAATTGGTATAATGTGAATGCAAGCTAAACCTATGCAATGAAAGGTTTTGTAAATATAAAACCATAGACCCAAAAGCAGTTTTCATTGAGTGATGTAGTTCTGCTGCGTTAATTGTTATAACCAGTAAAGTTATCGATTGATATAACCAGTAAAGCATGGCACCCAGGTTATGATGTGGTACTTCAAATATATGGCACAACCACAGCTGTGCAGATTGTTTGAAGCGAGGCATAAATTATTTTTTTTTCTAGAAAATAATTTTACATGAGAAACAGTGCATTTACTTGTACTTGAGAAGTGAAACATTTGAAAGGCCTCTAACGGCAGTAAAATGTGTTCGACTGTAGGTTTTGTTCAATGGGGATGAAGAACCTTGGTGATGCGTGTCTTCAAAGACGCATAGTGAAAGATAGGAAAATGTTTGTATCCATGGCATTCGTGAAGTACAACCATGAGATTGTTTGTTGAAACGAAAATGGCAAGGTTTGTGCCAATATAGATATGATATTTCTAACCGTTGGTGCTACTTTTGAACTTAATAGTTCGTGGACATCGATTGATAGTTTTATACTCTCTCTATTTCAAATTATAAGTCACTTTGACTTTTTTGGTACATCCATTTTGCTATGCATATAGATATAATATGTCTAGATACATAGTAAAATGGATAAATCAAAAAAGTCAAAGTGACTTATAATTTGGAACGGAGGAAGTACTTGTGATGCCATTTAAATCTAGCTATGTTTGTTCTATGTAATATGATCTATCTCCTATATGCCTAAATAGGTGATCCGATCCCCATTAGCATATTTTCCTAGCTTCTTAAGAAGCCATGTCAGCATCAACCCACACCAATAGAACACCATCGGTCAACCTTATCTCCTTACTAGTCCTTCCCGCATGATCCCAGTAAAACGTCCCCATTTAATTTATTTAGGCCATGCAAAGAGACGTCGGAATATCTTTCAGAAAACATATCAGCGGAGAGAGAATAGAGTAAAAATGCATTCATAGTGGACGTGAAACTGGATGAGCAATTCGGCCAAAATAAATTAAACAAACAATTCGACCCTACAGCTTCCCATCCAACGTCTGAATTCCGACTTCCTATCTGATGGCAGCACCACCACCCGATCCAATATAAGAGACATCCATGAGAAGCGTCTTGGACGGCAGACACACGCAGGATCTCTAATCCAAATCCTTTGCATCCTCCGGCTCCTCCATGGGAAGCAGCAGGTGCTTCTTCTTGGCTTGGAGAACATGCTCCACTGGTGCTACCGTGGGTCGTCGATAGTCGCTTATATTGGACATGTCCACCGGCGATGATGCGTTGGAGCCGCTACCACAGGGATCGTCACTATCCAGCTCCTCCTTGCGCACCACGGCGGACACCGAGAGGCGGCACCTCCGTGGCCACCTTGGGACATTCCAGAACGCCTCTTCCCATGTCATGTCTTTGCTTGCCGGCCAGTGGCCACGTCATATGGGAAAGTGGGTCATATGGTAGCTATGATAAGTGTCCATGTCGTACGGTAAGTATTCGAGCTGCCTCTCCTACTTTCTAATTACTTCGTTGTTGTTTTTCTCCCACCACATGCAGGATGATCAACAATGCATGCAACCTTGCCACCACTACTACATGAAATAAAAAAATATAGTTGGTTATTACAATAAGAAATAGCATTGTTATTCGATCCTATCATTGTGATTAAGTGATGTATCTTCATGGCTACGACTTAACCCTTTTTGGATGGATTTTTTTTATTTCCAAACCGTACAAAACCATTATTACACTTTTCTTATATATACTCACTATGAAATTAGTTAAATTGTAATTACTTAGACTTCTACATCAATCCTGAAAAACTATCCACAATTACTTTAATGAAATTCCCGCAGCAGTAACGCGCGGGGTATCATCTAGTTAAATGAATTATGCTGCTATTGAAATGATCCAAATTAATTCTGAGACTGTTGGATTGTAATTTTTCTGACTGTAGGTTTTCATTTTTCCAGTCGGTTACTTGTGACATGGACAGAATTCTAGACTTAGTGGCTGGAAATTGTCCTGTCGACATCTAGAAATTTTCATGTCGACGTGTTACCGACAAAGAAATTTGGTGCATCGACAGGGAAATTAATCCACTGACAAAGAAATTTTATTTTTCTGTCGCTTTATTTTTATCGGTATTTTGCATATTCCTGTACACCGACAGGGAAATTCTTGTTTCCAATAGTGATTGTTTTTACTATACATCTAGATATTAGCAAAACAGAAATACTATACAATACACATGTGTTTTAGCACAAAAAAACACATGGATTTTTTTTATCTCTCTCCCTCTCTCTTTCTCACCGGTGACCACTGGCAACGGCGACCGGCGACCGGCGAGCTCGCCCCGGCGCCTGCGCGCCTCCCCGCGCTAGCCATGGCGGCGGCGGATCTGTGATTTGTCCTTCCATAGAAAAAAAATTTATGATATGTGGAGGCTGGAGGTAGAAGAAGGGTGGAGGCTGTTGGATCTTAATTCTATTGTGCAAAAAAAATCATGTGTTGAAACTACATGAAACACATGATTGTGTAGTAGACAGACTCTTAGCAAAAACTTAAAAGACAAAAAATGACTTAAAATTTGGGATTGAGGGAGTAATAAAATTGAGGTCGTAGAAACAAGTCCGATAATAACCAACATAATAAATTAAACAAAGTATTTTTTCCAACAAGAACTACGAAGAAATTTTCGAGCCTGACAAAAATAAGCAATGCAATTACAGAGTAGAGTATTAAAATATGGCAGAATTGCTGCTATGGAGGACCCTGATTATTAGTGCAAAAAAGGCCCCCAGCTCGATTCATCGTTGAGAAACTGGTGACCTCACCGTCACCGGTGATTCCATCGGTGCCGGGAAGACGGCGAGTGAACCGCACCACCACCGTTCCCCTTCCTATAGGGATTGCTCAGCACCACCGTCGCCATCGTCATCGTTCTTCTGCTGCTTCTGTTATCAACGGTGGTGCCTCTCCATCCATGGTCACTACTTGTCCGGGCAACTGTCCTCGGATGATCTGGTCGATCATGGTGTTGCGACAAATTATGTTGCGCACGTCGGCGCACCATATCTATAATGGTTTGTAGCCTTGCCCTCTTTGCAGGCGGCACCCGTGGCTTCCATGTCGGCATGGGAGTCGTCCAGAACCGCCATGTTGACATCACCATTGTCTGCCATCTAGTCATCGCGTATCTCTCTTTCCAGCTCATCAATGCCATGTCCTCGTCGGTGAAGTACGGTGGTTCCTTGGTGGTGAAGATCGGTGGTGGTCTGAATTCGACAGGTTGCTCACGACTGGAGTTCAGAGATCTGATGGACTCGTACTTGGCCTTCCAGAGGACGGCGTCGTGGTCGGCGACGAGGCGCCTCAGCTCCTTGCTAGCGCACTCCACCCTCGCGACGTCCTCAGCGACGTGGAGCCTACACAGGATCGTCATCTGTAGGTCGACGGGAAGGCACCCGAAGCTGGGCAACACCGGCACGCCGCTGTGAAGGCAGATGGAAAGAAAGAGGCGGCGGCACAGCTGATCTGCGAAAAGCTTCCAGAGCCACGCGCCGCCACTGGCGTCATCCAGCGGCGACGCCGTCGTCAGCGCGCAAGCCGCGACGTCCATGCCGCCCGAGAGCACGGGCGCGAGAGCCGCCAGCGGCAGCCGCTCCCTGCGCGCGTTCCGCTGGCGGACATTGCAGTCGACGTAGGCGTCCACCTCGATCTTGCCGCGGCCGCAGCCTCCCCGACGGTGGCCCCGCCGTGAGATGCACAGCACGGCGGCGTCCGCGCCCTCGCGGTGGGCCAGCTGCGGCACCGAGTAGCGGCGGGATACAGACCAGGGCGTCGTTTCCGACCGCGCGTCGCACGGCAGGAAGCCAGCCGAGAGGAAAGTGGCGTCGGCCACGATGCACAAGCGGCCGAAGAGGTCCTCGGCGTTCCAGTGGGCGCCGTCGGTGACCTTGCTGAGGGGCCAGGACTTGTTGGCGGCTGCCATTGCCGATGGTTAGAGATGCGTTTTTTTGTGGTCACCATCCACTTCGATACAGCGTCGGCAGATTATATTATACTATTACATATATATATAGTAATATATATATATACTATATATATTCTTGAGGGTTTCATCAGCAGAATAATAAGAGAAACAATCTTGGTCCCGCTCGTTGTGGACTCTCGGTCGCATGCAGTAATCTCTATATTTACAGGATATAAGATTTGTTACTAGTAGAAGCTCCCATTATCTATTATAATTAGTCAATTTTGATCATTTGACTACATAGAAGCGTGATGAGCATAGCAACGTATGTGTAGCAGCATTAGCCGGTGTGGCTGCATGCACCGTGTTGAACATATGGTCTAGACGACGCTTCACTAGCGTTTCTACATAGTCCGGATGACCAATATATCGACTAAATATAATAGATAGCGAGAGCTTCTACTAACAAGCTTGACTTACAGAAATAGGATCAAATAGAGGAAATACAACTAGCACAACGGCTGCCCCGCCCTGGCACACGCGAGGGTAACGTCTGCGCTGAGTTAGGTCTAGCATCTCGCGCCGCCGCTGCCACCGCCGGCCCTCGCTTCTACCACTGTTGGTCCCCCTCCCTCCCCTCTCCGGCATATCGTTGGAGGCTGGAGGGAGTGGAGATCCATCGTTTTTAATATATTTTCTTAGTAGATCAAGTCCTTAGGGTTAGGGTCTTTTCATGGAAAGTTTTTTGGTTTTGGAGATTTATTTTCTCCTCCTCCGACGACGGCGAGAGAGCAGGGAGGAACCGTTTTCTCCATGGCAGCTCTGTTAAAGATGAGGGCGACAACTACGGCATTAGCATCCTCACCGGTATGACATGGAGACTATTATTTCCAGACGACGACATCAAGGCGGAGATGGTGCGTCGCCATGGAATAATTTTCTCCAGTCTCTTCTCTATTTTATCGTGGTTAGATCTGGCTACGATAAAGGACTAGGGAGAATAGTTTCCAGATCGGTCTTCCTCATTCTTCGGTGGCATAAAGAAGAAGAAATACACTAGAAAGAAGAAGTTTCTCAAATCCGCCTACATGAATGTTGGTCGTTGTTCATTGGGCATATGTTAGGCCTTTTACCGAGTGTTTGCCCGTGCGGTCATCCATACTGCAAAGCGTCATATAGGTTTGGTTTTGAGATCTGGAGCTATTCACAACATGGGTATAATTTAGATGAAAATCAGTTTCTGTATATTTGTGTAATCTGAAGTGCTTGTAATGTGTTGTACCCAGCTATTATCTAATATAATTCTTCTTTCGTCGTAAAAAAGAGAGCTTCTGCTAACAAATAAGAATCAAAATGAGTCCGTAAAGATATAAACAATTTCAAGCTAGACACCATAGAACATGATTTTAGTAAACATTTGAAACTAGTTTCATAATTTTTGAGCCAAAATAGAGTTTCTATGAATTTTCTCAGATTAAAACAGATTTTAGTTTTTTTAATTGCATTATTTTTTCATGTAAAATATTTAGGTTAATATTTGAAAGAATTATTTTTATGATTATTTGAATATTTTTTGAAAAATATTTCAAGTCTGATTATCTCTTTGATCTTTCACCTCAATCGGATTTATTCTCTCGGACATGACGCCATATTAGCAAAACCACTCAAGATGCAAAAATAAACGGTTTTAAAAGTTAAGTGGGTAAAAAAAAAACTGGTTTTGTAGTTCATGGAGGAAAATCGAATGACCACGGTAGCCGAGGGAATAAATTAGACTTTTTTCTAGGCCTTGTGGTTGACACGGGCACGACAAACCAAGGTGTCGCAGTCATCATCCTCAATAGGGCATATATATGCTACTGCCGTTGAACCACTACAACAATACCTCTGACAAATTTAGAGCATATATAGCACGAGCACAGGTGTGGAGCTCACTAGGTTCTTCAGTGATCTTCTCAATTGACGAGGCAAACATAAGAGGTCATCCTCCTCTAGTGTTAGGTTATGGTCCAGTGGTGTGCTAGCGGGGCAAGGCCAGCGATGACGAGCTTGTCCTCAAGAGTGAAGTTTGCATGACATGCTTATTATTAGAGGCAGAAGCTATGCATATGCAGGTCCCAAAGTCAAATAGAGTATAGAGGGTCATATCTTGGGGGAAACATGGGGGGTAGGGGCATCGATGGCGTTGGAGATGGTGGGTGAGATGAGGGTGGTCAAGAAAACTGAGTCGTAGATTGTGATGGCAGTCTACGTAGACCAATAATGCAAACAATGTTTGATGTTGCGTAAGGAGAGTGGTAGGATGACGTGCGACGTCATGGATGACTCAGCGGTGGCGATGTTGGGGCTGTGTGTGGTGAATGAAGGGGGAGGAAATGAGGAGGCTTGGGATCTTGTAGGCAGTGCCTATCGGAGGCTCTCATTTCATAGGATACGGTGGTCGTAGTGGGCAGGGGCATGGAGGTTGGAGAGAGGGTGGCTAGGAGATTGGGGGTTGGGAGGGGTGGTGTGTAGATTTGCATGTAGGGCAAGTTTAAGGATGGCAAAATAAATCCTTGGGAGGGGGTGATTAGTGGGGATGGAATCCGAAAAGAGAGGGGATGAGTACATTTATCTCCTGGTGGAATAACGAGGCGAAACCTCCAAAGTTAGCTACGAAACGGTTGAGGATCATATTTTACTCGCTGGGGCCCAAGACACCTGAAATCATTCATGCTTCACTAATCTGGTACTCCGTCCGTTTTTTAAGTGTCACATTTGGTTTGTCCTAAGTCAAACGTGTGAGAATTACTTTAGATAAGGGAACTAGATGAATCCCTAGGATGTTTCATACATTTGAATGATCCAATGTCCTGAGCAACGAATAGTTTACTTGAGGAATGAGTCATGTCTTAAATCATTGGGTGTCTAACATACATGAATAAGAATGGTCACGAGATGGTCCGCTCAAGTTTAAAGTCACCATCAAACTATCTGGTGAGTGAAAATGGTTTTGAGGTTATTCTAAGTACTAGTTTAAAGTATAGTTGTACACAATGGATTAAGCTTGTGCATATTGGATCATTTTTTTCACGACCGTGGCATAGCATGTATTTCATTAAAGCAGAGTAGTCAAACACAGTCGAACCAAACAAATGACTCTGCTCATAGGTAACCAAAGGTTGTCCAGAGCTAGAGCAAAACCACAGAAAAGAAAACGAAGGATAAGCGCAAAGGCACCAAAGAGCATAGCAAAAAAAAAACTACAGCACAAACAAGAGCGATTGCAGGGCTGTCTACTGAAGCTCCTGTTCCACCCCCTTGACGAGCACCACGCTGTCCAACCAAGCACTAGCGGGGAACATCGTCCTAATGGCTTCGTGCTCCGACGCCGAGAGGGGGCTCCAAACAGTGACAGGTACTCCTTGAAGGCATCATCGTCAGTGGCAGCGTCCTTATTATGTCGTTGATTGACCACCCCCCCCCAAACACTTCAACATTATCACGTTTATCACCTACACCGTTAGTTTGGATGTGCGACGCTGCATTTTGCGGCTAGGCGCCCACTACGCCGTGGTGGGGAAAAGGTGTTGTTGATCGCCATCCGTCTCCTGGCAACATGCAAATGACACGGGATGTCCTGCACGGGCTTGGGGATACACATGCAGATGCGCGACTCAGAGTTGACTTCATCACGTTTGGAGAGACTACCGGCAATGCAATGACACGAGCAGGCTGCATCTCCGCGTCGGGGAGATGAGTAGAGACGGACAACACCGTGATAATAACGAGACGCGGCGAAGGCACGGCGGGTAGTGGCCTAGGAGAAGCGAGCAATTGAGGCAATCAAAGGTGGGGCGGCGAAGAGGACGATGAGTCAAGGCTGGACCTCAATAGCTCAAGCTCCATAACCTCCCAGTCGGGTATCAGTATCAGGGGCTGATACCCGAAAGAAGGAAGCTAAGGGCCGCGAATGCTAACTCCCTCAGATGGTCAATAGCGTATCTTGGTCTCACCCAGCTCCGAGGGCACGGGCTCCGTCTCGCCAGACCCCGAGGGCGCAGATTCCACCTCGCCCGATCCTAAGGGTGTGTACTTCGGCTCGCCCAACCCCGAGGGCGTGGGCTCCGCCTCACCCGACGGAGGTCCGTACTGACCCCAACCACTATGGGTCTAAAAGTACGAGTTCAAGGTCAAACTTCTAACACCAGAAGTGGAGCAGGCGCGTCTTGATGTGACCCACGGCCACGACGGGCCACGTCTGAGGACGCACGTCGCCAACAGCATCGAGGCGTGCTGGCGCTGTGCTACCTACTTCCCGTACGGCCTCCAGCGGAGACTTTAGCTAGCCATACCGTCCGCTGGGATGGAATGGAGCGCCATGACCAGCTGACGATGCTCGCGTACGGCGCCAGTGACGAATAGGGCCGCGACGTGGAGCCATCTCTGTCGTCATCTACACGGCCATCGGGACCTGTGTAAATGTGATGGAAGATGTCGCAATCCCAGAAGCCTTCCTCTCCTCGTCTCTCTCTCTCTGATGTAACCTGCATCTTTCCCTTCATCTATAAAAGGGGAAGTAGGGCGTCCCACGGTGGGGGTCGGCATTCCCACACATCTAACACGTCTGATCTGCTGAAGGCTTTGGCGCTCGACAGTATAGAGAGAGAGCTCAACCAGACTCACTCTCTTCACCAGAAACTTGGGACCTTCTCCCTCTCTCGCCTCTTTGTAACCCCTACTACAAACCAAGTGCCGGTAACACGAGCAGCAGCAGACTGGACGTAGGGACATTTCGCCCGAACCAGTATAAATCATCGTATCCTCCGAGCACAGCCATCTGGGTCAGACGCTCAAACTAGAAATTTACTAGCCGGTGATTCGAAACTCTGACAGTTGGTGCGCCAGGTAGGGGCCTTTTGCGCGTCTCGTCGTCAACAGCAGGCCACGGATGGCTAGCCACGGCCTTAGCAGGGTCCTGGGCATGCACGTGCACTTTAGGAGACTGGACTTCATCGTCGCCATAGAGGGAGAGCTAG